ACCCATCTCTCTCGATGCACTTTCAATCACATTGCATGATAGACCCTTAGTGAACTGATCTGCCAGATTGTTAGACGTGTGAACATAGTCCAACGCTATTACTCTGGAGTTTCTCAATTTTCTGACAGATTTTAGTCGTCTCTTAACATGCCTTGTGGACTTCATGTTGTTTTTAGAACTGCTAACCTTTCTAATCACAGTCTGGTTATCGCAGTTCATACAAATAGCCGGTATTGGTTTTTCAACAACCGGTAAATTCATAAGGAGATCACGAAGCCACTCGGCCTCAGAGCCAGCGGTGTCTAATGCTGTGAGTTCTGCTTCTATTGTAGACTTCGTTGAGATAGTCTGCTTGCAAGACTTCCAGGAAACAGCGTCACCTCCAAGCGAAAACACATATCCACTTGAGGCATAAAGCTCATCAGCATCAGAGATTCAGTTGACATCACAATAGCCTTCCAACAACTTTGGGTGTCCGGTATAACGAATACCATAGCTTATAGTGCCCTTTAGATAGCGCATCACTCTCTCAAAAGCACGCCAGTGATCATCTCCTGGGTTTGACACAAACCGGCTCAGCTTGCACACAGCAAATGAGATGTCAGGTCTTGTTGCACTAGCAAGATACATTAGCGAACCAATGATCTGGGAATATCTCAATTGATCCCTTGCTACTCTCCGATTTTTTCTCAATAGCACACTAGGGTCATAAGGTGTAGGAGCAGGTGCACAATCACTAAACCCAAAGCGACTCAGCACCTTTTCCACATAGTGGGATTGTAACAGAGTTACCCCACCATCACATTCTCTCAAAAGATATTAAGAATAACATTAGCCTCTCCTAAATCTTTCATCTTAAAATTATTAGATAAAAATTCTTCACCTCCTCAATCACTTTGAGGCTGGATCCAAAGATCAGTATGTCATCAACATATAAGCACAAAATAACTCCTTCACCCCCACCATACCGATAGTACACATATTTGTCAGCTTCATTCACAACAAAGCCAGCAGATGTTAGAGTTCTGTCAAACTTCTCATGCCACTGCTTAGGAGCTTGTTTTAGACCATATAATGACTTTAATAATTTACACACTTTGCCATCTTGACCATTTGCTACAAACCCATCCGGTTGATATCCATTTGATGAACGATGAGACCATAAGAGGCTGCCAGGGAAAGCAAAACTCGAATTGTGGTCAATCGGGCAACCGGTGAATAAGTATCAAATAAATCCTCATCTTCCTTTTGAGTATAATCCCTATCCACAAGCCTTACCTTGTACCTCTCGATAGTACCATCAGGCCTAAGGTTTTTCTTGAACACCCATTTGCACCCATAGGGATGATCAACTATTTCCCAAGTTCCATTAGACATAACAGAATTCATCTCACTCCGTACTGCTTCCTTTCATAAGTCAGCATTAGGAGAGGAATATGTCTCTTCAATGGCCGTTGGTGTATCATCCACAAGGTACACAATATAGTCATCACCAAAAGACTTTGCAGTCCTCTGTCTCTTATTCTTTCTAGTGACTATTGTGTCATCCTCCTCAGGATTTTGCATATAGGGTTCCTCAATTTGTTCTATAGGAGTAAAAATTTTCATGCTCATGGGGAATTATAAATTCATAACTAGTCGTGCAAGGTGCATTTTTCATGGTAAATTCATTCTAAAAAAATATAGCGTCTCTAGATTCCATGATGGTATCAACAGCCATCTCAGGAACAATAGAATTTATAATTAAAAATCTATAACCCACGCTGTGAATAGCATAACCAAGAGAAACACAATCAACAGTCTTTGGTCTAAGCTTTCGCTTTTTGTTTATTGGCACATTCACTTTTGCCAAATAATTCCAAGTTCGCAGGTAAGAGAGATTTAATCTCTTCTTCTCCTATTCCTCGAATGGTGTAATTTCTTTGTTCTTTGTGGGCACTATATTCAGGACGTGACACGCTGTCAATATAGCCTCACCCCACCATTCCTTAGATAGTCCCGCAGTCTCTAATATGGCATTAACCAAATCAGTTAGAGTGCGGTTCTTTCTCTCTGCAATCTCATTGGACTGTGGTGAGTGTGGTGGCGTCCTCTCATGAATAATTCCATGCATCGCGCAAAACTCAGAAAATTCATTTGAGAAATATTCTCCTCCGCGATTGGACCGCAAACGCTTGATTTTCTTCTCAAGTTGATTTTCTACCTCAGCTTTATAGACTTTAAAATAATGCAACGCTTTATCTTTAATTTTCAATAAATACACGTGACAAAATCTAGTACAATTATCTATAAATGTCATGAAGTATCGTCTACCGCCTTTAGTCAATTCGCCATTCATTTCGCATAAATCAGAATGAACGAGTTCTAATGGTGCCAAATTCCTCACCTCAGCAGCCTTGTGAGGCTTGCGCGGTTGCTTCGATTGCACACACACCTGGCACCTAGAATCTTTGACTAAGTTAAATTTTGGGATTAAATTCAGATTTGTAAGCCGCGTAAGACAACCAAAATTAATGTGACAAAGTCATGAATGCCACATAATCGACTCATCCGAAACATTAACATTGTTCACCACTTTATTACACACATCATCAAGCAAAGATAAGCGGAACAAGCCTCCGCAATCATAACATTTTCCAACAAATGTTCCATGTCTCGAAACAACACACTTATTGGACTCAAGCACAATTTTAAAGTCATCGCGACACATTTGAGAACCGCTAACAAGATTCTTCTTGACGGAGAGGACATGGTGCACATTCTTTAATAACACCGTCTTTCCCGAAGTAAACTTTAGAACGACCGTATCAGCACCAAGAACACGCGCATGCGAACCGTTTCCCATCAGCAAGGCTCCAGTCCTGCCGACCTGATAGGAAGTAAACAAAGAAACATCAGCACACACATAAATATTAGCCCTACTGTCCATCCACCACTCAGGTGAAAGACAAACTGAAAGAACAAAAGGTAATGAATTACCATATCCAGATGTTCCTCCTCCAGTCTTGCTAATCACCACGTTTGTTGATTTCTTTTCTTGCTTATATTTGCGGTCTGGGCACGCACTTGCCCAATGCTCATCACTCCCGCAAACAAAGCGACCTCCACCTTTCTTGTTGTTTTTTCTTCTTAAACTATGCAGTTTGCTTAGGCTTTGCATTGTTATTATCTTGCATGTTCTTCTTTTTATTTCGGGATGCAAATGAGTTTTTCTTCTGCACCATATTGGCAGCGGAAGACTCAACTCCTTTTCTACGGTTGTCATTTGCTCTCGCCCTCTCCTCAACATCAAGAGATCCAATAAGCTCAACCACACTAAACTCTTGTCTCTTGTGTTTTAGAGAAGTAGCAAAATTCCTCCAAGAATGTGGCAGCTTAGCGATTATACCGCCGGCTACAAACTTGTCGGGCAACAAACATGGGAAATGTTCTAGTTCTTTTGCTAGCGTCTGTATCTCATGAGCCTGTTCGACTACAGAATGGTTTTCAACCATTGTGTAGTCATACAACTGCTCCATAAGGTACAGCTCACTTCCAGTATCAGAAACTCCAAACTTTGCCTCAAGAGCATCCCATAACTCTTTGCCTGATGTGCAAGATATGTAGTTTTCTCATACTTAGGATGAAGTGCACTAATCACGGCGTCTCGAAACAGGTTATCGGCAGCCAAGAACTTTTGCTCCTCAGGAGTAAACTGTTCAGGCTTCCCCTGTGTGGAGTGATAAGTTCATCGCAGTCAACCACAATACCATCTTGGCACGCCATATCAAGAAATTCTTGCCATCAAAATTATTTGGCTTCAAAGCAGCAGCAAAACCACTGACAGAAAATTGACTAAGATTAGGTTTGTGGATTGTTAGATATTAGACATTTTCATGGTCAATTTAATCTAGAAATATAACATCAGCAGGTTTGTGACGACATATATGTGCATGTGTATATCATTAACGAACTCTACAACATGCAGACATGACATACAGATCGATACAGTAAAAGCACAAAGTACAGTAATCACAGAGATAAGAATGTACCCAGCGGAGGGTCCCATGCCGAGAGCATCGGAGGCTCCATTCGCACTAGTCGACATAGTGCGTTGCTCGAAGTCGTGGACCGCAGTCGATGCAGGAAGATGTTCGCAGTGCAGTCCCACGAACGGTCACCAGGAAGAAGACGCCTTGTTGTTCCGCAAGCAATCACCGGAAAGAAGACGGGTTCCGAGAGCGATCACCAGGAAGAAGACGTACGTGGACGAGCAGTCGCGGATCGCTCCCCAAAAACCTAATCACCGCTCACCCCGTGCAAGGTTCTCAGGCGGACGAGGGTTCCGGAGGCACCTGCTCTCCCGCTACTCCGTGCGCGTAGAGGTACGGGATGGGGAAACCAGAGGGCTGCTGAGATATGGTTTCTCTCGGGAGCGGTAGCGGAAGGGGGGAAGGACTGACGGCGGAGGACGTTCTGTTTTATGTCTACGACGGAGAGGAAGGGAGGAAGAGAGCCAGCGGAGGAATCCAGGAGACGGAGACACGAAGAGACGGGGAAACGGAAACGACGCAATCACCTCGCCTCCACCATAAAGAAGAGAAAACTCTCGTAATTATGTGTATTAAGTGGCAAAAGACTGGCCACGCCCGCCTGCCACGCCCATGCCCACGCCCACGCCCACGCCCTCGGCCCAGGTGGCGGTGCCACACGCGCGCGCGTGTGGCACGCCTATGTCCTTTTCTCAGCTTCTCAATTAAGATGAATAATTTCCAACCATATAAACTGAGTCAACGTTCAGTCAAAATCCCGTATGGTATTAAACCATACAACGCTTAATGTTACGTACCATAAAGTTTTATTTGATTTATTAAATATTATACGGGCCAAGCCCATAATATATCCAACACATGGTTCCCCGCAAGGCCATCTGTATCAGTGTAGGCCTTCTAGCATTCTCATGTTTGTTGTATTGTCTAGCTGACAATCCACCCCTAAATATCCTTTGTCATGTCTTCAAGAATGACCAGACGCAGGAGAAGGTGGCAGCGGATCCTGTTGAGGAACATGAGGCTAACAAGCTGTCCTCCGACAAGGGGAGCGATGATGACTACTCACAGTTACAGGGCTCGAAAGGAATGTTATACAAAGTTGAATCTGACAGTGTGGATGATGAAGATGTAAGGACAATTGGTACTGTTCTTTTTTTTCTATCTTTCTTTTACGTACATAGTTTGACTCAAATAGATGGTATCATGTTCAGCAAGGAAGAGCAAATGGTTCTGGAAGGAATGTGGGTGGAGCAACAGAAACGGAGGATGAAGAAGATGACGACAACTGTTCTGATGTATGTACATCTTCAAGGACTATGGTTTTGTTTTACAATCAAGTATCCCAATTACCTGGTACATTCTGTTAGGACATGGAGGGTGAAGTGTATCTCCAGCAGTGGGTAACTGACAAGCTTATCACCTTACTTGACTATCCCAAGAGCATTGGTGCCAAGGAAATCATCCGGCTTGGTAGGTCCATTTGTTGAGCCCTATTTCGTTTAATTTCGCTCCTCCTCACTTTGACACTTGCATCTGCTGCTGTTCTGAATCTGGTCCTGTGTTACTGTGTGCAGCGGAGGATTGTTCTTCTACCGATGACCTTGTTTGCATGCTGGTCAAATCCGGTTTCAGGTCATCCTCAGAGACCTGCAGCTTTGCGTTAAACATTTATGCCAAGGTTACTCGTAGAGCCAGCATCATTGGTGTAGGCGTCCCATTCTCACATCTGTTGACTGTGATAGGTTCCAACTGATAATTGCAAACGTTTTTTGTTTGCTGATGATATATTTTTTGGTTGTTCGATGATTCAGAAGCTATATCAAGAAGATGTTGTCAACAGAGATGTTGTATTCTTCTCTTCTCATACTAATATTTTGTTGTAAAGGTGTGATTTCTTTTTTCCTGGAACTGATGTTGATCTGTTTCATACTGGATGCGTTGTAGGAAGTGGAGGAAGCAACTGAGCTATACTTGAACACGATAGAAAACAATGAAGCTCACAGACAGAAGGTAATTTTCTAGCAAGCTGATGCTCCTTGGTTGGCCTCTATTTTTTTAAGGACTCATATATTAGAGTCGTAAGAGTTAAAGTGCATTCTGAATGTCACTCGAGGTAATATCTATATTAGAGTTGTAAGAGTTAAAGTGCATTCTGAATGTCACTCAAGGTAATATCTGTTATCGAAACTTTGAAAACAAAGACTGGAAATGAAATGATATTGCATAGCTGAACGTAAAACCATATATTGGCACCTCTGCATCTTAAGCATAATATCACCCTGTTGGATCTACTATGTCTTTATTATAGAAATCTTGGTAAGACATACGAGACGAGAGCAGCATGTATGGCTATTTGTTGTTCAAAACTAGTTTTGTTTCATTTGTTAGTTAATGATGGCTGCCTTATTTTCTGTGAGAATGCTTAATATTCCATTTGGTAATCTGTGGTTTTGGATGTGAACCATTCATTATTTTCGACTCATCAAGTCCACTTATTCTTTGCTCCTGTAATTGTAATTGCATTATATTTGACGTGGTGTGCCTTGGGCTGTATCAACAGCAACAGCAGAAATACAAGCTTATCTCATTCGTCCATTGAAAGTTATGCTTCATCCTTGAATTGTATGCACTGTTTGCATATGTGTGTTGATTTTCTTAATTCTCTTTTCTGCTAGATAATTTTACTGCAGTGTCGTTTGACCAATTGGAGACTGAACAATGTATCTAACACCAGCAACTATATACGCATTTATTTCAGGACAAAATGCCTGAAGCTGACGATATGCATGAAAATGCTGGTGAAGAAAAAAGATTATCTGTGGTCTTGCTGGAATATGAGTAAGTATACTTATAATTTATCAGGTCTCACGTATAAGATGGTGAACTTCCACAGAGTTGATTCATGCATGTTAGTGCTTTAATTTGACCAGCAGAGATCTTGAGCACAAAGGTAATAGGAGTCCTGAGACTGAAGAAAAAGTATGGTTGGAACACCAAATAGGTAATATCATCATGTTAGGAAAAAACTTCCAAATTCTGCTTTTAAGTATTTTGTTGTGTTAAAGCAGTGTATCATACCGTGGGCTATGCTTTTTGTTACATAGAGACTGACACGGAGCAAATTATATACTTGTTCCAGGAAAGCCTGGACTGAAATATGGATGCATAGATAAGAAGCTATCCTCTGATGACAATCCGTAAGTACTCTTTTTTGTTTCCTTTTGAATTATTCATCAGCAGAGTACTATCTGTGTCTCTGTGGAGAAAATCACCTTACCATCTCCAGTGTTGTTGCTGTGTCTTTGGTGAGTGCAAGTTGCTTGGTAATCGCTTTGGGTCATACTCTGAATTGCAGCTAGTGGTTGTTGGCATTGGAGGTACTCTGTCTATAAGCTCAGAGTCTACCCAAGAGTCCTCACTTTAGAGAATAGGTGAGTTGGTGTGTTCTCAAGAACATACTCTTTTGCCGCTACAGACTACTAGACATCTCTCCATCCCCTGAAGACAAGGGTTTCTTTGACTGGTGGATGAGGGTTAATGCGTTGGTCCCCAAGGAAGTGAAACAAGGTTTGAATTCGCTGATTACTTTAGGGGCTTGGATGTTGTGGAAGCATTGTAACGACTGTGTCTTCAATGGAGCTAATCCCAACATCCAACTTGTGATTAGAACCTTCCTTGAGGAGGCTCATCTCTGGTCCCTTGCTGGCTCTAAGGGGTTATCACATTTAGAAGTGGTCGCTGGGTAGATGGCTTCATTCTGTTCAGGCTTGGTTGTGTGTTTTTCTGTAACAGGTGCGTTTGTAAATAGTTCCTTTTCTTTTTGGACAAGGATTTGTATTTTGTATTCTCCTTCTTCTTAATGCAACGATACACAGCTCTCCTGCATATTCGAGAAAAAAATAGGTGCTCTATTCTCTCTAGATGCCCTACAGTCATGACAATTGAATAATGGCAATGTTATGAGTCTTTTACTTGTATGTCATTAAAAAAGATGGTCTAATCGTCTATGTCCCTAAAAAGTTCAATCTATCGTCAGTGTCCAAGCTCGAAAAACTTTTCTCTATCACGCCATTCTGTCTATTTGCAGCACTAACGGTGTGAAATATGGGGGGCAAAGGACTTGAATGCCCCTGGAACTTTTGTTTCTCATGTGCCACCGCCTGCTGGGCGGCACCGTCCTGGACCTGTCCATCAACGGCCTCACCGGCCACATCCCGGCGTCGCTCGGGAACCTGACGTCGCTGCAGGAGCTTCAGCTCAGCGTGAACAAGGTGTCCGGCCCAATCCCGGCCGAGCTCGCGCGCTGCACCAACCTCACCGACCTCGAGCTCGACAACAACCAGATATCCCTGATGTGCCGACTGTTGCCTGAGCCTGACGCAGCTCAGTTTGTGCTGTGCTGTACCAAGACATGATTAATCGGCAATAATGATCCCGGACAAAATCATGATCATTGGTTAACTTCGGTGCAAGATACATTGTTCTACAGACAATATGCGTGTATGGTACAAGGAATTATTGCTTGCTTCGATCAATTGATTGATTCATGGTGGCGCCTTCGTCTTCCCCACCCCGACCCGCCTCCGTCTGATCGGTCTGGAGGTCCACATGATCATGCATTTCCATGGTGGTGGTTGCAGTGAGCGTCCAACGCTCCTTCTACACCGCCTTGCCTTGGCGGCGAGCGGCGGTTCGTTTGTACGCCGACGGTTCATAGCTAGGCTCGACGACGTCCAGTCAATGTCACCATGTCAGAGCCAATTGGATGAAGACGAAGCCACCATGGGTGGCGCGGTCCTCTTCTGAGTTAGGTCGGCGACGCTATTACATCGAGTACGCCAACGAGCTGGACGTGGACTGCGACTGGGCTTGGGCCGTGGGTTTGGCAAGGGAGGAGGCCGCAGCGGCCCACCTGGCCGAGTCCAGCGGCCTCGCCCCGGCCCCGCACCCGCCGCCGCCGCCGCCGCTGACCTTCCGCGCCTCGGCGCCGTCGTCGCTCCAGAGGCCACGCAGCAGCGCCGCCACGTCCTTCATGGTCGGCCAGTCCTCGGGCCGCGCGCCGGCGCACAGCAGCGCGATCCCGAGCGCCTGCAGCATCTCCTGCACCTGCGTGTCCGGCCTCCCCTGCAGCCGCTGGTCGATCACCTCCGCGGGGTCGCGCTTCTGGTGGAGGTGCTCGCGCACCCACTGCACCACGCTCCGCCCCTCCCCGAACGCCGCCTCCATCGGCCGCCGCCCCGTGATGGCCTCCAGCAGCACCACCCCGAAGCTGTACACGTCGCTCTTCATCGTGATCTTGGTCATGCACCCGTACTCTGCGCGCGAGAGGCCAGGGAGGGAGGGAGGGACCAAATCACAACCGTCAGCTTCTTGTACTAAGTTGTAACGAACGACCGGGATTGCATTGCAGTACTATAAGGGGGCGGGGAGGAAGCCGGCTTACGGGGAGCGATGTACCCGTCGACCCGGCGAACGGCGGGCGCGACGAGTTGGCGCGCCTCGGCGACCCGGCGGCGACTTCCCGAGGATGTTGTCGCGCCTCGAGCAGGTGGAGGATCGCCGCCACGCTTCGCCGAGAGGAGGATGTTGTCGGCCTTGACGTCACCTCGCGGTGGAGGATCGCCGCACGCAGCGATGGTGTGGTGCAGGTATCGCGAGGCCCTCGCCCACGCCGATGGCGATGACACCGCACCTCCGATCCCACGCGCAACACGCACCGCCGGTGGATCCGCCGCGATGCGCAGCAGCCGCCGAGGGTGATGTTCGGGAGGTAGTCGAGAAGAGGAGGCGCGTCCGGCGGTTGGCGGCCCACCCGAGGAGTCGCACGATGTTGAGGTGGCGCACCGGCAAAGACGCCGACCGCGCCTGCGCGAACGCCGACGGATGCCTCGTCGCCGCCACGCCGCATGAGAACCTCTTCACGGCCATGCGATGGCGCGCCCGTGAGCGATTGGCCCAGGTAGGTAGAGCGCGCAGTACACCGATCTCGGTGATGGCCACCAGTTGTTGACCGGCCGACGTCGCGGTTGGCGCTCGCCGGGCCGGACACCTTGTTCATGCTGAGCGAAGCTCCTGCAATGACGCCCACGCCGATCTCCGGATGGACTTAGACGGTGCGCCCAGCAGTAATGGCACATGAGCGTCCGTCCTGCGCGACGTGATCTCGGCGTCCTGCTTTAATGGCATGCTAAAAGTCGTTATTCAGCTAGCGTTGGTTTTGGTAATTGCCGCCGAACAACACCGGACGAGAACGTCTGCGCGGCGGATGATGAGGAGGAACGCCATGCCATTGGGCGGTGGAGAAGGACAAGACTTGGCGATGGACACGTTACGGGCAAGTCGACACCAGGATGGACGCGTGGCGGTGCTTGAGCAAGCCTTGCTGCTGCCGGGCGCCGCAAGGCACCGCGAGAACCACAGATCATGTTGGGAAGTGCCCTCCACGCCGCTCGTCGGCATGTGTTTGCTTCGACATGAAGAACGCGGAATGGAATGCGCAAGCGGTGGCGGGCATTTCAAGTCGCTTGAAGGAGACGTTTATGAGGGCCACGAGGTTCGGAGCGCAAGAGGGGCAGGTTTGGAGATCACCGGAGAGCTTGGTTGTGCGACACGTCCGAGCACGCCAAGCCGCATGAGGCCACCGAACTCCTTGGGTATCGCGCCGGACAAGCCATTGCAGCTCAGATTGAGAGCAATCTCCAGCTCCCGTGAGTTGATTGGCCCAGGTAGGTAGAGCATGCGCGAGCGGTGAGAAGCTTACCGATCTCTCGGTGGGGATGGCGCCGGATATCTAGTTGTTGTCGAGCTCGAGGTCGGTGAGGTTGGACGTGGTCAATGTGACGAGAGCTCGCCGGGGGTCGGGCCGGACACCTTGTTCATGCTGAGCTGAAGCTCCTGCAGCGACGTCGAGTTCCCGAATTGGGACGCGACGCCGGATGTGGCCGAGAGGCCGTTGATGGACAGGTCCAGGGCGGCCGACCGCCAAATGAGTGAAGGGGTAACGGCACATGAGAAACAAAAGTTCCCTCGGGGCATTCAAGTCCTTTGCCACCCACATTTCACACCGTTAGTGCTGCAAATAGATAGAATGTCGTGAGAGGGAAAAGTTTTTCAAGCTTGGACACTAACGATAGATCGAACTTTTTAGTAACATAGACGATTAGACCATCTTTTTTTAATGGCATACAAGTAAAAGACTCCAATGTTATTAAGCTAGAATGCTTGTTCAAGGACTATTGGTGCTTAGTTAGAATATTTATTCAGATGGATGCTGGCACGCTAGAGAGGGAAATTGTTCCTGTAAGGTTGTTTTAACATGGTTACCCCATTAAGGGAAAAGGCAGATTTTCCTGTGGTCCAAAATCAGCTTGAAACTTTTGAAGGTTCCTAAACCTTGTTAGAACATTGCTTAAATTGGCTAAGTATTTAAGCCATCATCAAGGCGTTGGTTGCCTTGGTGGCACAGTGAGCTTAGTTAGCTTTGAGGACAAGAGAGCGCTTAAAGTGTGGGCATAGGTTTGTGTGACCTTGCTCGAATTGAAGAGAGGTGACTTCTTTAGTTGCGCGCTAGTATGCAAGGTGCAAGTGAACATATATAGAGGCGTAGAGAGAGACCGAGGGCATTTATATCGGGTGGATGGGACTATTCGGTCTAGTCCCATCAAAACCGGGCGCTTGTTCAAGGCGGGGGTGCGTGAATATTTATTCAGATGGATCTCCACCCCAAAATTGCATTTGTTTTTAACATGACGAAGGGAAAAGGCAGATTTTCCCGCCAATGAAACGACAGGTTCCTAAACGAAATAGAAAGCCAAATTGCGCCGGCGACCATCATCAAGGCCACGCACGCACGGTGAGAGCGAAGCAGCAGGGCGCCATTAATGGCGTCGCGATGGCGTGCAAGGCCACGCGACAAAGACCCACCCAACGAGAGGGACGGCCGTGGCCGCCCGTCAAACATGACGCGACGCAACGCAAGGCAAAGGCGATGAACGCATTGCGAGCGAAGCGCGGGCGCCGCCGCGGCCCGCGACGGCAAGAACGGGCAGGCGCTGCGAGGCGTCTAGCGGCCAGCCACAGCAACGGCCCCACGCGTCAATCAGACAGCCGCGGCAAGCGCAAAGCGCGTGTGCTGTGCGAGTGTAAGGCGTGTTATGTGCAGCGCGAACGGCAACGCGGCTCGACGGACGCTGAGTGTAGAGGCGTGCTGCACGGTGACCACGCTTTCGACGCTGAGTGCTCGAGGCACGGTGACCACGCCCACGCGATGAAACCGGCCGGGAATGTGCCATGCACACTTTTTAAAGCGCCCTAAAAATCCAATTCGATGATTCAATTGCCAAACCACCTATGCTATACTTAAGAGGGCATGTTAGGCTACTAAAACAAGCCATGAAACCACACCACTACTTAATCCAATTCTCCTATAAAAACTATCAAACATGGCTTTGTCAAACTATTTTCCAGACTTACGAAATCGTCTGTCTTGATCGGATTTGCGTCATGTTCGATTTCCAAGCTATTAGGTACGCTAGCTAGTGAATTCATTTCTCGACCATAGGTATTTCATCGCCATCTACAACGTTCATACTTCCAACTTTACTAAAGTTCCATATATACGTTCTATAGTGTTTTCGTTCAATAAAAATTCGCGAACATCCGTACTTGATAATTTCAGGCATCACAAACAACCTTTTGTTAGCCATTTCCATTGGTCGTTTTAAGTTACGTACATTGATTCACACACTATATTACATAAATTGACACATAACCATGATGCTCATGACATGTTTTAGCAAAAGATTTTACAGTGTAACACCGAGGGTGTTACATTCTTCAACTTGTGTCCTTGTCTTCTCATCTAGGTCTTCAAGTAACCTCCAAAGGTCATATATAGTCTCGTCTTTTTTATAAAGTAATAGTAGCTTTTGGTAAAACAGTAGGATGAAAAAGAATGTATTTATTTATGAAAAAAAAGATGAAGAGGTAACAAACTGTATATATATAATGTTGTAAAGTTCAGTTTGTTACCTCTTCATCTTTTTTTTTCATAAATAAATACATTCTTTTTCATCCTACATTTATATACCGGACGTAGAATTTTATATACCGGACGTAAAAGCTCTCTGTTTGGCACATACAGGTCTCAAGTTGAGACATCCTCCAGCACGGTAGATCAGGGACCATGAAACGCTTTTCCTCCTTTTCATGGCTACGAATGAAAATTCGCCGCTTTTAACAGCCTTAAAGGTCAACCAGCAGATTCATCACGCTCCTGCTAGACTGGTCATCTGCTCTAGGAACTTTAGGCTTTTAACGAAATTTGACCAGCTTACTGTCGAGTCACACTGTCCTAGAAGCATTGACCCACCAGTAGTGGTCCAGCACAGGGCACTCATGAAGCTAAAGCTCCCTGTCTTTCTTAAACAGCGAGAGTGGCAAAGAAGGATTAGTTAATTTTGTTTGAAGAAAAGAACACGCTCAAATTCTAGCTGAGGAAAATCGAAATACTCTACAACTATACAACAAGTTTATGAGCTTGTTTTGCATGTTAATTTTAAGGAATGTAAGGTTCGGTTCTATTATGCCCCAAAGTTTTTTTGCCCCCATTTGTGATCCTAACATTTTCAACCTGAAAATCTAGAGAGAGGTCAATTCATAGGGACGAGGGCATCAACTTCCAGAAGTGGTGATGAGTTTGTCACGAAAAGCAACACCGAGACTGCTGCTGGCTGCTGCCTCACGAAACTGAAAGATGAGCAGGTAGACAAATCCAAATCCAAATCCAAACATACTGGTGTCCCGTCCAGTGCAGAGACAGGTCGCAACGCAGCCCTGGATGCCAATTGCCAATCAAACAAACCCTAACCATAAACAAACGGAGAGGGACAGCACTAGGAGCTGGAAAGCCATGTGGATGTGGGACACAGGGCAAAGCCATGTGAATGGGTAGGGCAGCGTGCCACAGCAGAGCACTTCGAGTGCATAACCCACAACAAGAGTCACCACAGCAATCAGCAGCACCATTTCCAACTGTAAAATCTCTATATATCAAAGCAGGTTAGTTTAGCCGACGCTCAGGCCATCCACGTCACCCGAATTATTTCCAGTCGTCCGATCCTCCATCGTGTGGCCCAGATTGCTTTTAGCAGCTTCCGTTTGAATCAGCTTCTTGCAGATCCCGTCGCTTTGCGTTGATTTTGCCAGCTTCTGCTGCGTCTGGTCCGAATCCGGTCGACCAAATATAAACAACAGCTTCTGCTTCTCCTTCTGGATTCTTCTGAAAATATCTCGCCTCCTCTTCCTCTTCCGAGCTCGACGCCTCTCCTCCTGGTCACGGAACGCCGCCTCCACTGCCTCCGCCCCCGGCTTTCCTTCCTTCCTCTCTCCCTCTCCCTCTCTCTCTCTCTCTCTCTCTCTCTCTCTCTCTCTCTCTCTCTCTCTCTGGGGCCCAGATGTGGTGGCGGTGCCACACCACCCCGGCTGCCACCACCCACCCGGGCCCGCCGGAGCTCCATGGTCGGCCCCCCAGCCAGCCGTCCCCACCACGGTGGCAGGTCGTGGTGCTCGCGCCAGCCCGGCCCGGGTGCCCCCGACCACCTCCCACCGCTCTGCGTCTGCTCCTCTGCTCCATGAGACCCTAGGTGCCTGTGCTCGACGACCCCGGCTACGCATCGCGTCTTCCTCTCCGGTGGTGGCGCCGATGGCTCACCCGGCAGATCTAGCGTGCCTCACCCCACCACCCGGGGTTCATGCGCGGCAGTCACCCCCTCCTTGCCTCTCTCCCCTCTCCCACCCAGCCACCAGCGGCCACTGTGTATGGATGGCTATGGGCACTTCCCTACTCTATTTGTGCTTCATCTCCAGTGTTTGTTTTCCTAGATTTAAAGATTGATTTCTTGGTTGTTACTGGAGGTGGATGAGGGATT